TGCGGGCCGGGCCGGCCCCCGCCCCGCTGGGGCGGCGCGGGGCGAATCCCACGGAAAGCGCCCGAAGCCCCGGCCCGGAGCTGCCTCCAGCGGCCCCACGCGGGGCCCCGTCACCTGCGGCACGAAGGGCCGGCATGGGAATAAAGTAACAAAATAAAATCTACCTCGCCACTTAGGCTGCACAAATACTGCAATTTTGTCTTTGTAGGCATTTCTGAACACAGGCCGTTAAACAGAGCCTTTTTAAAGGGTCAGCTTGTCCTGTTAAGTGTTGAGAGCTTCATTTTAGAGAAAAGACCTGTGAGAAATGGGCTCTTCTAGACAGCAGGATTGACTTGCACTTTCGGGTTGGTATCCACATGTGTGCTCAGTGTGTCTGCTCCTGAGCATCCATAACACACCAGTGTTCGCAGGCTTGTCCTTTCGTGGCTTCCAGTGACTGAACATAACTGATTTATTTTTAAGGAATACAGCAGAGACAGCGAGAACGACAACTTGTGCAGGACGGGGCAGCAGACGACGTGCTCACACCCGTACTGATCCAACGTATTTTGGCACCTACCGGCCCAAAACCGCAGGGCAGCCCGTGGGCTCCCGCGGCCTTCCCATATCGGCTTCCTCGGCCCCTGCCTGTCCCAAGTGGGCAGGGGACGGGCGCAGACCTCCACGCACAGGAAAAGCAGCACCCGCAGGTTGTGCCCGACGCCAGGCAGGAGCCCCTCACCCCGCACACGTCCCCACGCAGGGCCCTGCTCGCTGCAGGCGTCGCCCGTGATTTCCGCCGCGCGGCTTCCTCACAAGCGGCGCGTGTCTCGGACCTGCGGGAATACAGGAGCGCGCTGTCAATGGAAACTAAAGCCTCGCTGTAAGTTTTGCCGATTGAAAGCCATAATTATTTCAGTATCAAACATCTAATCGTATTAACCTACACTTGAATACAGTTTAATCGGGTTTACAGTCAGAACACGATATCGCCAATAAGTCATTTGCTTGACATGCGCATTTCATGAGTTAACAAAGCTGTATTTGCACTGATTATGAGAGTTCTCCCTGGCATGAACTCGCTCTTTTGCATTTTCTTTTGCATTTTCTCTAACTCTATGGCCCCATCTACTGGATAGCTTCGACAAAAGCCTGTAGCAGCACACAGAATTTTCTGTGAACTTGCAACTATCTCTACAAAAGTAAATTATTGCACGAACTTTTTTTTAGGCAAGGTGATAATTTATAATGAACACAGAAACTGAGTCTGCTTCTCTCCTACCATCTACATACAGTTGAGATTCCGTTTGAAACACTTATTAATTAATGCACCTCAGTTTTGTACACTGATATTTTTCCTGTCATTTGGCTACAAGCCAGACAGCAACTTTCAAAATAGGAGTTTCATTATTCTCTGATGATGAATTTTGCAAGACACTGATGAAACTTTGGTGGTTATTTCTATATCCATATCATGGAAGCTCTTATTGCCTTAGGTGAAATGAGGACCTTCTAAAATTATCCCTTTTTAAACCTGTGATGCCGGATCTCATTTCAGAGACCCTATTTGATGAAGCTTCTTGGGGAAAATAAAATAATAGTAAAAAGAAAAAAAAACCCATAACCAACCTGCTGAAGCCTTTTTCCATGGACATTCACTGATTAAAGTTACTCACTGATACCTGCCAGTGGCCCAAGTCTGTAAACTTGCAATGGGATTCAGGAATGGTTGTGAGTGAAATGTGCCTGACTACTGAGCCTCTGCTTTCCGGAGACCTTGCCGTTTCGGAGTCAGTGATCACAGAGTCTCAGGGAGTCCTACGGCACTCCTTGCAATTTCACTATCATTACAGATCTAGCATTACACTTAATTAGCGTCATTAAGGGATATTTCAGTCCTTTGCAAGCACACATAGAGTATATAGTAGTGTAATAAAAAGAAACAAGGAAGAGCCTAAAGCAAGAACAGGGAAGAATCCCAAAGAGACACTACAGAGTCTTATCAGGACTGTGCAGAAGAATAACTTTTGGCTTATTTAAAGTCTCTATGAAGTTTAGGTTTCCTCAGGGTTTGGTGCTGCCTGAGGACATGTTTCAAACTTCTCAATTCTAGAATTAGGAAATGAATTGGGATTTCAGTGCTAAATTTTATGTCTTTTTAAAATTTCCTAAAAATACTCTTAAGGCAAATCAGGTTCCAAAGGTCTGCCTCATGTTAGTTTAGAGGTATTGCATATCTGTATTCTTTGAAAAATCCTACTAATATGCTTGCAAAAAAGTGATTTGAAATATTTGATTTTTATATAGTTATGCAGGGACTCTTAATCTGGATTCTTAATCTAATTTGCAGGCCTAAATGCTCCAAGTTATACATCATTAATTTAATTTTAAAAGATCATATCTTTTCCTTATTTAATCTTCAGCTGTTTTCAAGGATTCATACACACAGAAACAAAATATTTTGCTTCAATAGCTGTCTGTCATATGCATGAACTCATGCATGATATTGAGTTACACCTGCTATGATTTGGCTTATGAAAATTACAAGCCATGGTGACGATTAGCTGAGGAGTTGCAAAATATTCTCTACCTCCATCTTCTAAGGTCTGTATTTACAGTTTTCACCTAAAATCTGTTTCCGTTTGCTTCTTCCTCGTTATCCAGGACGACAACGATAATCAGCAGGATTCTCGCCGTAGCTCATTAGACCAGATGCGGGTTATGGTCTGTGTTGCTAGTTGAACTTGAACAAACAGCTAGAGGGCTAAATCAGATCCTTTCTGCATAATCTCCATTAGCTCGTTGCCTAATCAGCAAACCTAATCAGCAGCCATTTGGGCAAATTAAATTAATGTTTGTCTGTTTTGGCACACAGTCCCACTGAGCATACAGACTGTCCCCAAATATCTATTTAATTATTATTTTATAGTTAAAAAAAAAATCCGAGGCCAATTATATTGTTAGCACATAATTTGCCTGTATAGAAAACGGGAAAAAATATTGCAGCGAAGTGGTGGAGCTGTTTACGGCCGGGAGAGGGCAATCTTGTTTAACTAATGCCTAATTTTTCATGAGGAGGCTACCCGAGCTAAAGGATAGTTTGTCAAAAAAGGTAACAGCCCATCCAGCCATATTGGGGTTTATCACAGATACAGTATAGTTCAGATGCAGCTCATTAGAATTATAATGCTGTCTTACCACCCCAAATAAAAAAATAAATCTGTATACGCAACGCAAATGCAAAGCACTCTGAAGGAAAAGGAGGGCTGGGGAATATGGTATTTTTTTTAGGGCTGCAGAAATATATAGGGGTGATGTAAAATAACAATGCCATAATTTTTCAGACTACACTAATACACATGTTCCAAGCAACATCACAGCTCTACAGGCACAGGTACTCTTCTAATATTAATAAGAAACAGTCTTGTTGCCCGGAATACCAAATCCCGGGTTAGGAAGCACGGCTGCGTGGTGCATCAAGCTGGATCCCGGCGGACAGCAGCCAGGGTTCCCCACCGGCTGCTCCGTGCCCTGCACCGCAGAGCCGCAGCACGCAGGTGCCTCTTCACTTTCAGGTGAACTTGGACCAATCTAAACCCTTCTAACTTGGGGTTTGAGCATCACATGGGACACACGTCCTTTTCTAGTAACTCCTTATATGAGCTGCGACTAATTTAAAACTAACACCAAGCGCATCTTGCTTTGCATAAGGCTGAGCGACTATAAATTCCTTCAGAAATATGTTTTACATCTACTCACATATTTTTTCTAAAGCATTACACATTATCTCCTGCTGCGATTCTACTCTCTCAACATGGCATTAATCCCAAGCTAGCCTTCTCTCTCCTTTCCAAAAAGGATCTTTTTTAAAAATTCCTCTTCCCCTGAATGAAGGCTGGAGATAGCTATTCTATTGCACACTTAGGGAGCTTAGCAAGGCTTTTCTCAAGTTTACCTTCTCGGAGACACAGATGCATTCAATTCCCCCAGCTTTTCTCCAGAGGCATATTTTCCTTCCTGTTCATTGCAGTGGATTCTAGATGTATATAGAAAGAATGAAATCATTATTATACAGCAGAATTTTGAGAGTCTTGACTTGACATCCCTGTACGAATTAATTATTAAATATACCTGATCTACTGGAATGTAGAACCGCATGTTTAAATCCCACTGGAAAAGTTATAAACAAACAAAAACTCCCCGTGTTTTAAATTACAAGAACCGTTGATAGTTTGTATCAGAACAAGCTGAAAATGAAAAATAAAGTATGGGCTTGCTACATCAGATTTACAGTAAAGTAGCAAGCGAGAAGCTAGGCACTTCGCTACCATCTTGTCTACAAAGGAAAATGGGAAATAATTAGTTCACTCTTGAGCTGTCAATAACAACGTATGAATTGGCCAAGCATCTATTTACATAAGAGCCTATTAAAAAGGTGTATTCCATAGGAGCTCTTTTGTAAATTTTGTCTGTTCCCAGTCATCACGATTGCTGCTCGTGTGACCCACATCGGGATTGCGGCCAGTGCCCAGCGCTGAACTCGAACCCTTGGGCCAGCTCAGGAGCAGGAGGCTGGGCCTGCACCACGAAGGTCA